TTATATTATAATATTATTATTTAATATAATATTTATTTAATACATTATTTGAACGCCATTATCTTTTTTAATGTGTAATTATACTTAAGTTGTGATTTTCTGCTGTTATCTTTTCCGCTTGATTTATATCAATCTGATATCTATTTTTATTAATTGTCTGTACTAGAGGGTTTCTTTCTTGTTCGAAATAGATTAAATAAATAAATAATTGCACATCTTTCGAAGCATATCGATAAGATAATCATTCGCGCGAATCTCTTTTGGAAAGAAAGAGCTGAAGCTTTCGATCCGTGAAACGTAAATATAGTAAAAAAAAATTGTAAGAAATTGTAAGAAAAACATGAATATTAAGAAAAATTCTTTGCTATCAAGTATTACAGCGCATTAAGATACGCGATACAATTCCACGATAGACATCTAAATATCGCACGTAATCGTGGGATAACGACGAAGCGTGACAAAACGTGACACCATTCTGTTGTTAAATGACCATCTTTGATACGTAACATAATATTACGTTTCCGACGATTGATGGCCTCAAGATTACAGCATTGATAATGCATGAATAGAAAAAAAAATGCGTATGTGTAAAGGATGTGCAAAGTTTCTTAATTGATTGGAAAAAATTGTGAAGTCGAAAGAGAGAGAGAGAAAAAGGGAAATTTTTATTAAATACATTTTCATCAATTTCTTGACTCCTACTATTCAGCCTTACAGTGTTTTCTGAATTCGTTGAATCATCGCGGTGCAAGGTTGAACGAACCTTCAAACGAATGTTCTCACTATTTGTTCCGCTGCGAGGCGGAAATAGTGACAGGGATTTGATTTGTCACGTCTACCGACGACGATATCGTTCGTCGTAATTATTTAACGGTGCAAAAAAATGGATACTCAGGTATAGAGATTAATTAAGTCGCACGTAGATACTGCTAGCAATAATAAACATTATAGATTAATCGACTATCTCTGTCTGATTTATATCTTTATAAAGTATTCTCGTGTCGGTTGCAATCGTTGATAATTGTCGCCGATTAGCCGTTCGGTAAGTAAATATCGAACACGCACATCGTTATCAAACATACGCCTTTCGAAAGACCGGTTAAACGGCTGCTGCGGGCGCGTTTTATTGCTATCACATTTATCCTTCAATGGGAATTCACGTGACGCCGGTCTCAATGTCGTAGACGGATTTATCATGCTCTTACATTTTACGAATGACTGATTCGTCTCATTCCGCAAAGTTTCTCAATTTTACGAACGATTATGCAAATATCACTATCCTACGTTTACTGAAATAGAAGAGTACTACGATCAAGGACGTGATCCTGAAAATCCTAATGTCTCGCTATGTAATATGATTTTATTATATTGTTATAGAAATTAATAATAATTTTTTTTAAATTAACAAAATAATGGATGATTTAAATCATAATCTCTCTTTCTCTCGAATGTAATTTTATCTGACTATAGACGAAGATATAATTATTTAATTTTGTGTAATTTGAGTCCCTTGACGATCAACTGATCACAAGTCCAAGTTATTCAACACGCAGAGACGATGCGTGATGCAACACGCGGCATCTCAGAATTGTCACGTGCGATCTCGTGGAAATCCACGTTGGTTACATATATTAAAGAGAAACTATCGAGTTGTTTCTCTCGTGTTGACCGATCGACGCAAGTCGATGTTTGTTTAATTCGTGCAAATTTTCGTGGCCATTCCCGACCTTTTTCATATGGTAGAACCAGTTTGACATCTAACTGCATTGCAAATAACATCGAAATCATGTGGTCCCCGATAAAGAGAGATTAATGCGGCGATACATTACATATACCGCTGATAAGGAAAATGTGTAGATTATTAAAGATAATATAGTTGATTAACTCTTTC